TAATGACCTGCCAAAAGCCACACCTCCAAATACCATCACACTGGGGCTAGGGCTTCCACATATGAATTTTGGAGAAACACAATTCAATCCATGGCAGTAACTTATCAGAGAGGTCTCCCCTGACTACCCTGTATAAGATAGAAGCTCTTCCTGCCCTATCACTTTTTATTCTCTTTACACTGTTTTTTAATTGTCTTCAAAGCATTTATCACCTCCAGAGATTATTTACCTGTTACTTGTCTGCCTCCACAGTACAGTGTAAGGCCCTGAATGGCAGTGACTGCAGCAGTTTTTATTCACTGGCTTATTTCCAGCTCTCAGAATAAAGTGAGGCACACAGACACTCCTTACGTATTTGTTGAATTAATAAATTAAAACGTTCACTTATATATGCATTGGTGAACCATTTACATAATAAAAAATTTGGAAATAGCACACATCTCCAGTATTGGGGTTAAATAAATGCAGGCAGAGCCATACAATGGAACGCTATGTAACCATTAAAAAATGGTGCTATCAAATATTTAGTGACATGGGAAAATGTTTACCTTTTTACGTAAAAACACCTTGTTACATAAAAACAGTACCAAAAAATGTATACAAAAAAGTATATAAAATAAAATCTACATTTTGTTAAAAATAAATAAATTTGTATATCTGTGTAGAAAGGAAGAAGATCAAATAGAAGAGAGAAGAGACTAGAAATATGCACACCAAAATATTTTATTTATTTACTTATTCATTTATTTAGAGATTAGATCTCACTCTGTTGCCCTGGCTGGAGTACAATGGTGTGATCTTGTCTCGATGCAGCCTCCGGTTCCCAGGTTCAAGCAATTCTCCTGCCTCAGCCTCTTGAGTAGCTGGGACTACAGGCATGCACCACCATGCCCAGCTAACTTTTGTATTTTAGGGTTTCGCCACATTGGTCAGGCTGGTTTCCAACTCCTGGCCTCAAGTGATCTGCCTGCCTCAGCCTCCCAAAGTGCTGGGATTACAGGTGTGAGCCACTGCGCCCAGCCTGTACACCAAAATATTAAAAGTGGTTAGCACTCAATGGTGAAATGTCGGGTGATTTCCATTTTCTTTACTAATTAGTTCAAGTTTTTATAATACATGTACATTGCTCTTAACGATCTTGAAATCTAATTTTTAAATTGCAAGTTGTCGGGAGAGAGAATATGATTAGCTCACCTCTGGCCCGAGCACCTGTGGACAGGAAGTGAGGTCTGCTGGTACGTAGGGTGACCTCTCTCAGAGACTGAGGGGGCTCAGTTCTCTATGAGGAGAGGAGGTTGAGGAAGGAGTGATGGAGGCTCTCATACCAGCCAGAACGATGATAGCAACAGTGGGGGATGAGAGGAAAGGCCAGATACGCAGTCTCTAAGGTGTAAACCTAGAAGATACTAGAATGATCATTTCCAATCACACTTGTCATTTCCTTCACTTAGAGATCATGAGAAGCCTCCAATGTAAGAACAAGAAAGGCCCTTTGAGGTCAGCCAGCCCAACTCCTTCCTGTATAGCTAGAGAAGCCAAGGCAGAAGTAAAGTGGTCTGCTCCTGTTTATAGCTGGTGGCAAAGCTGGGGCTAGAGTCCAGGTTTTCTGCCTCGGGGTCCAGCACTCCTTGCACCACGTTGCACTGCCTCTCCACTCTGATGCCAGGGCAGCCCATAGCTTAGTCAGACGGTGTTGGCCCAGAGCTGACAGTTAGGTCTGCTTCAAAGCCCCCTCCCTGGCTTGCAGGAATTGCAGCCCAGGGCTGGTGGTTATTCTGGGTGGTTATGAATGGGAGGGAAGAGGAACCATCTGTGGACACGAGACAGAAGCAGTGTCCACTGAACCTGCTCTTAAGTGCAGTAGGTGCTTGAGATTGAGGAGAGAAGTAAACGATATTTCTCCTGATGAGTTACAGTATCCCAAGTGTGAAAACCCCTGATCTGGTGAATCTGCAAAGCCCTTCTGTGGGAAGGGAGCCCATGTGAAGGAGTACTTCAGCAGAATGACTCTGCTTTTGAATTCTGAGATTCTAGTGGCATCTCATAAGGGAAAATCCCTTTAAGGGAATATTTGGACTAAAAGCACTCTGACAAACCCTGACTAAGTCCCAGTTACTCACTTCTAGCAGCAGTGATTTGTTTGTTTGTTTGTTTGTTTTTTACAAGATAGAGTTTGCCTTTTTGTTTTAGGGAGAAACTGATTCCCCTTTAACCCCTCTGATATTGTTTCTTGTCATATTTATGAAAACCAGTGGGAAGAGCCAGGTGCGATGGCTCATGCCTATAATCTGAACGCTTTGGAAGGCTGAGGTGGGCGGATCGCTTGAGCTCAGGAGTTTAAGACTATCCTGGCCAACATGGCAAAACCCCATGTTTCTATTTACATGTTTCTATTTTTCTATTTGAAACCCCATTTTTTACTACCAAAAATATAAAAAATTAGCCAGGTGTGGTGGTATGCACCTGTAGTCCCAGCTACTCAGGAGGCTGAGGTGACAGGGTTGCTTGAGCCTGGGAGGCAGAGGTTGCAGTAAGCTGAGATCATGCTACTGCACTCCCGAGCAAGACCCTGTCTCAAAAAAAAAAAGAAAAGAAAGAAAACCAGTGGGAATTGCTAACCTATGTTGAAGCCTATTTTATGCCCAGTGGTTCCCAAACAGGGGAAATTTTGCCTCCCAGGAGACATTTGGCAATGTCTGGAGTCATTTTTGGGTTGTTACAAGTGGCCATGAGCAGGGGGCTAGGGTGTGCTACTGGTGTCTAGTGCATAGAGACTGGGGATGCTGTTAAACATCCTACAATACACAGGACCACCCCCACAACAGAGAATTATATAGCCCAAATGTCAATAAAGCCAAGATTGCAGACCCCTGGCCTAGAAGGTCTTTCTGTAGTGGACGGGAATTTCTTAAATCTAAGAACAATCATTTCCAAGTCTACCCTCTCTTATGGAATTAGACAAAGGGCTGTATATTAGTGTTTTCTTCTTTTTTTATTTTTATTTTTTTACTTTTTGTTCAGTTAATAAACTAGCTAAAAATCTAGCAGTTACTATATATTTTACTCTAAAATATCTTTATTCTAGAACAAGTGCACTCATTAATTTAAAAAGTTTTAATGAAAATTACAGTGCCCATTTGATTAATGTGTTACAAGTTTTAGAGACCCTTCATCATGATAGTCCAATTTAAAAAATTGTACCTTACCTTAAAAGGTTTTTATAATGACATGTATTATATATGTTGTAGAAAAGTTGAAAAAATGTTTTTTAAGAGAGTTTTTTGACCAGGCATGGTGGTTCATGCCTATAATCTCAGCACTTTCGGAGGCCAAGGTGGGAGGATCACTTGAGCCCAGGAGTACGAGACAAGCCTGGCAAGCATGGCGAAACCTTGTCTTTACTAAAAATATTTAAAAAATTAGCCAGGCATGGTGGCAAGTGCCTGTAGTCCTAGCTACTCAGGAGGCTGAGGAATCAGAATTGCTTGAACCTGGGAGGCGGAGGTTGCAGTGAGTTGAGATAGCACCACTGCACTCCAGCCTGTGGCAAGACTGTCTCAAAAAAAAAAAAGAGAGAGGTTTTTTTTTTAAATGATGATTCTACCACTTAGAAGGAAACATTTCAGAATATTATTGTGTATTTCTCAATGAATTTTTAAAATAGTTACCATTCTATTTACACAAATTCATTTCTCCAAAATGAGTCTTTGTAAATATTCAGTTTCCTGCAGGGTGCAGTAGCTCGTGCCTGTAATCCCAGAACTTTAGGAGGCAAAGGCGGGATGATCACTCGAGTCCAGAAGTTTGAGACCAGCCTGGGAAACATAGTGAGACCTTGTCTCTACAAAAAATTTTAAAAGTTAGCTGAGTGTGGTGATGCACACCTGTGATCCCAACTACACAGGAGGCTGAGGTGGAAGGATCACTTGAGTCCGGAAGGTTGAGGCTGCAGTGAGTCATGATCATATCACTGCATTTCATCCTGGGAGACAGAGGGAGACCTTGTCTCAAAAATAAAATAAAATGAAAAATAAGATAATAAAAAAACAGGTGCTTAGTACTCCATCATGTAATACTGAACCCTACATTACCTAAAATCCTGTGTTGAACACAGGTCATTAATTGTTCACTGTTATAAATAATCTATAATGAACATTCATGCTTTTCAGGTTGCTTTTTAAATAGCACAGCAATCTGGATTGTCCTGGAGACTTTGGGACATGATTATTTAATGCCTAGTTCATGACAGAAACAGAATAGATAGGTGTCCTACCAGTGCAGCAGAGGAAACACCATTTGGAGTAACCAATTGAAGGGAGAGTTCTGGAACACCTAGGAATGGGGATTTAAACTTGGGTAGACCAACCAAAACATGTATCTGTATATATACAGATGTATGTATGGAAATACCAAAAAGAAATAAAAATTGAAGAGATAAGCACCAAGATTTTAGCCATGGTGACTCTGGGATAGAAAATTGGGACTGGGGGAGGAACAAGAAGAGAAGAGGAACTTTGGGGGTTTTTTTCCATTATCTTCTTTACTATTTGAATTCTTAACTATAAGAATATATTCATATGTAACTTGTGTAATACTTAAGCACAATACACTTGAGAGAATGATTTGGATCCTCATGGATGGGAGGCCTGATTTTATGTCAGCAGTTACTCACCTTTTACTTTTTTATCCAGCCCTAGTATTGCTGGGCACATTGTGGATAATGGATGAGCATCCCTGGAGATGGTATATTTTGGTAAAGAAGTTCTAACATGCATTTAGATGATGGGCCTTAATAATTTGTTCTCTTCTCAGTGTATTAGACATGACTCTTCTGCATCCATTGTCTTTGACGTAGAAGATGGTAGTGGTGGAAACAGTCTAGGGCCAGGATCCTGAAGGTTTCACTGCTTTAGGTGCTGGTTTAGAGAAAGTTTCTCTGTGAAGCATGCACACCCAGTCCCTGGGCCAATAGATAATGAGATTGTTCTTTTTTCCTTCAGGCCGGACACCTGGTCCCTGGCTCCAAGCAGAGGCAGTCGGGCAGAGCTCTGATGACATCAAAGGCAGAAATTCTCAGGTAACAGAAGACTTATGTCTCTGAATGTAAAACCAGGAATTATCCTTAGGGGGCACAGAAATGGTAAGGGTATGCTTTCTCCTTAACAGTTTTATATTTTTCCTCAGACTCCTTTTCCTCAGGGAAAGCCATATGGTGGACCTTTGTTCCAAGCTAGAATGAAACACTCACCATTTCAAAGTCTGAAGTGTGACAAAAGGCAGGGCTTCCCTGGAATCACCACTACATACAGAAGCAAGTTTAGCAACTCTGACATTCTACAACAATCATGCCAATCACTTCTCATTCTTCCTCGGTTATGATGGCCTGTGAGAAAAACTGAATAACATGTATAAAATATAATTCAGCATTCTCTCTCATCTATAGAATACATGGTTTCTTTTAGCACACTTGGAGTTTTTTTTCCCCCACCAATGTTATAATTGATTTTGGCCAAATTTAGTCACAATTCAAGTACTAGTACCTACAAGAAATGAACAGAACTAGAAGGGAAGCCAGACAGCTGCTTTTGTGATAAGACAGTCCTTGAAGAAACACCTTTAGTCTCACCCAGGGCATCTTAAACAGAAATATTTCCTAACCTGGACACGACGTCTCCCTGCACATCTTTAAAAGTCCTTTGTTTCTTTGAAAACATGTATTCAGTCGAACAATAGTCTCCCCATTTCCGAATCATATGTGACAGACTACAGAGTCACTTGCAGTTAAACCAGGCAATTCTGCAGCTGTGTGGAACATCAAGGAAAGTGACCTGAGAAGGAAGAGGCTAGGTTCCTGGAAGCTAGGATGAGTTCCTCAGAGGAAAAAGTACATCCTCTAGCAGATAAGTATTACCCTTTTCTAACCACAGATGATGTAAGGATTGCAGTAACGATTCTCAGATAATCACAGGTTCAAAACTGTGCATATGATTGTAGTTAAGGAAGAAGTATATATACATAGGAAAAAAGACAGGAAGAATATACACAATATTGTTAACAGGTAGAGAGCATTCTGAGAAGATGGCAGAGGAGAAAGCACCAGGAATCTGTGGACAACAATTGCATTGGCAGAATCTGTCTGATGTAATTTGTCTCATGTATTTTGGAACTCTAGGATTCATTAAAGGCTTGCAACTTCCAGGTGAAAGCTTGGACAGTAAATTGTGCTCTTAGTACAATAGTAACTACTCATCCTCCACCCCCCAGCCCATGGCAGGCAACTGGGCACGTGTTCCTGGAGCCGCTTGCACACAGCTTGCGGAGCCAAGGTGGGCACAAAAAAACCCCTGTCCTCCAGATACTGGGGAATCTGTTCTCTGATTGCTTATTGCTGCTTCTGATCACAGAGGTACAAATAAAGAGATGGGCAGCCATTGTTGCACCTCCTCTTATTGTTGTACCTCCTCTTATTGTTGTAAATCCCTTTCCCTCTGGCTGAAGTGGCCTCCTGGGGATTTCAAGGGCTGGTGACCATTTTGTTCCTCCTGTCCTTTCTCTTCTTTTTCCCATTTGGGAGCCAAACATTAAAGATGAACATTCAAAGGCTACTACATATATGATGAAAATTAGAAAGTGACCACATATGCCCAAGGAAAGGCACAAGCTCAGAAAAGACCAAGAAGACCTTAAGATTACACCTCAGGCTGATTCTTAGCACAGAGACAGCCTACAACAATCAAAAAAATAAAACGAACAAAAACAATAAGAAAAACCAGCAAACCCTGGGGGAGAGAGAGAATTGATATCTAGAGTTACTACATTATTAGATTAAAATGTAGAGTTTTCAACAACAACAAAAATCACATCATACAAAGAAACAGGAGAGTATGGCCCATTCAAAGGAAAAAAAAAATACATCAATAGAGACTGCTCTTAAAAAAGACCTGAGGGGAGATCTACTAGACAAAGACTTTAAAACAACTGTCTTAAAGATGCTCAAAGAACTAAAGGAAAATGTGGATAAAGTAAAGAAAATGATGTATGAACAAAATGGAAGTATCAATAAAGAGGAAAAAAAATTCTAGAGCTGAAAAATACAACAAATGAAATGAAAAGTTTACTAGAGGGAGTAAAAGGCAGACTTGAGCAGGCAGATGAAAGAATCAACAAACTTGAAGATAGGACAACTGAAATTATTGAGTCAGAAGAACATAAAGGAAAAAGAATTAAAAGTGAACAAAGCCTAAGAGACCTGCAGGAGACCATCAAGCAGACTAACACGCTTATTGTGGGAGTTCTAGAAGGAGAAAGGAAAGTGAAAGGGTAAAAAAGACTCTCTGAAGAAATAATAGATCAAAACTCCCCAAATCTGTTGAAAGGCATGAATATAAACATCCAAGATGCTCAGTAAAGTAAGATGAACTAAAAAGCCACACCAAAGAAACACCATAATCAAATTTTCAAAAGGCAAAGAGAAAATCTTGAAAGCAGCAAGAGAGAAGTGACTCCTCACATACAAGGGATCCTCAGTAAGACTGTCAGTAAATTTATCATCTGAACTTTGAAGGCCAGAAAGTAGTGAGCCCATATAGTCCAAATGCTAAAAGAAAAAAACTGTCAAGCAATAATTTTGTATCTCGCAAAACCATTCTTAAAAAGTGAGGGAGAAATTAAGATATTCACAGATAAACAAAAGCTGAGGGAGTTTGTTACCACTAGACCTGCCTTGCAAGAATACACAAGGGAGTCCTAAAGGCTCAAATGAAAGGACATGAGACAGTAACTTGAAGCTGTAGGAAGAAACAATGACCTCACTAAAGATAACTATATGGCCAAGTATAAAAGCTAATATTATTGTAACAACAGTTTGTAACTATACTTTTTTGTTTTCTACATGATTTAAAGATAAAACATTTTTAAATTTTTTAGTTTAAAAGCTAGTGTTATTGTAACTTTGGTTTGTAACTATATATTTAGGGTTATACATAATTTAAGAGACTAGTGTATTTAAAAGACTTATTAATTTATGTTTTGGGGCACACAATATATAAAGATGTAATTTGTTCACATCAACAACTAAAAGGAGTGGTGACGGAGCTGTAAAGAAGCAGATATTTTGTATGTTATTGAATCTAAGCTACTATAAAATCAAATTATAGTGTTATAACTTTAGGATGTTAAGTGTAATTCCTATGGGCTATGGCCTGAAAGTTTGTGTCCCTCAAAATTCATACGCCAAAACCTAAACCCTAATGTGATAGTATTAAAAGGTTGGGCCTTTGGGGAGATGATAAATCATCAGGGCAGAGCCCTCGTGAATGAGATTGGTGCCCTTATAAAATAGGCTTAAGGGAGCTTGTTCATCCCTTTCACCATGTGAAGTTGTAGTTTGAAGGCACCATGTATGAAGCAGACAGCGAGCCCTCACAAGACACCATATCTGCTGGTGCCTTGATCTTGGACTTCCCAGCCTCTACAAATTTAAGAAATAAATTTCTACTGTTTTCATAAATTACTCAGTGTTATAGCAGCCTGAAAAGACTAAGACACCATGGTAACAACACAGAAAATAGCTATAGAATATATACAAGAGGAAATGAGAAACAAATTTAAACATTTCACTACAAAAAAAGTCAACTAAACAGAAAAGAAAGAGTATGAGGTACAAAAAAACTATATAGAAAACAAGTAGCAAAATGACAGAGTAAATCCCTCCTTGTCAGTAATTGCTTCAAATGTAAATGGATTAAACTTTCCAATCAAAAGATAGAGATTGGCAGAATGCATTTTTAAAAATCTGATCTAGCAGTATGCTGTTTACAAGAGACTCAGTTTAGCTATAAAACACATAGGTTGAAAGTGAAAGGATGGAAAGATATATTCCTACTGTGATCAAAAGAGAGCAGGGGTGGATCTACTAACATCAGGCAAAATAGATATTAAATGAAAAAGTTTACAAGAAACAGAAAGGACATTATATGTTAATACAAGGTTCAACAGAGCAAGAAGACATAACAATTACAGATATTAGTTCACCTAATAACAGACCATCAAAATGCATGAAACAAAACTGACAGAAATAAAGTGAGAAATAGACCTATAATAATAGTTGAAGAATCAAATATTCTACTCCCAATAATGGGTGAAACAACCAGACAGAAGATAAGGAAAGAAATAGAGAACACAAAAAAGCTGTATATAACAGACATATACAGTACACTCTACCCAACACAGCAGTATATACATTCTTCTTAAATGCACCTGAGACATTTGCCAGGAGAGATCATTTGTTAGGTCACAAATTAAGTGTCTTAAATGATTTTAAAAGATAGATATCAGGCCAGGCACGGTGGCTCATGCCTGTAATCCCAGCACTTTGAGAGGCCTAGCGGGGTGGATCACCTGAGGTCAGGAGTACCAGATCAGCCTGGCCAACATGGTGAAACCCTGTCTCTACTAAAATACAAAAAATACCTGGGCATGGTGGCGGGCACCTGTAGTCCCAGCTACTTGGGAGGCTGAGGCGGGAGAATTGCTTGAACCCAGGAGGCAGAGGTTGCAGTGAGCTGAGACTGTGCCATTGCACTCTAGCCTGGGCAACAAGAGTGAAACTCCATCTTAAAAAACAAAAACAAAAGATAGATATCAGACAAAATATCTTTCCTAACACAGTGGAATAAAATTATAAATCTAGAACACAAGTAAAACTGGAAAATACAGCAATTTGTAGAAATTAAACACTACACTCTTAAACAACCAATGGAACAAGGAATAAATCAGAAAGGAAACTATAAAACACCTGGAGATTAATTAAAATGAACATACAACACACCAAAATTTATGGAACACTGAAAGCAGCGCTAAGAGGGAGATTTATAGCTATAAATTGTTACATTAAAAAACAAGACAGTTATCAAATCAGCAACCTAATTTTACAATGTAAAGAACTAGAAAAAGAAGAACAAACCAAACCTAAAGTTGGCAAGAAGG